ACCCTCAGGCCCACAGCCACCCTCGGGCCCACAGCCACCCAGCCCGCTGCCGGCCCTTACCGGCCTGGTTGGTGGTGATGTTCACCGAGGCGAACTGCGGGGAGAAGGGGCTCTGGTCGGTGACGCCGTTGACAGCCTGGATCTCGAAGGTGTACTGGGTGTGTGCCAGCAGGTCGCTGATGTAGATGCGGGGCTCGGTGAGGCCCAGCTGGCGCGGGGCGAACTGCACGTTGTCCCCGCAGCGCGTGCAGGCCCCGCGGCCCGCCCCGCAGCTCTTGCAGATGATGTTGTACACCAGGTCCTCCCGGCCCCCCGAGTCCCGCGGGGGGCTCCACTCCAGCATCAGAGAGGTCTCGTTCACGCTGGAGATCACGGCCTGGGGAGCCGATGGGATGGCTGGAGAGGGAACGGATGGCAAGGTGTGAGATGGCCGTGTTATCGCTACACACGAAGTATAAAGCAAAGGTTCTGAATAGCACAAGCAGCCAGAGGTTTTCAGGAGGCAAAAAGCCTTTATTTCGGGGTTTTCAACCCTTTTTATAAGGTTGGTGGAAGGAACAACACCTCCCTCTCATCCCATTGGTGGGACAAGAGAAAAACACTGTCAGAATGTCAGCGTCTTGTTTTTGGGAAAGTAAAAACTTATTTACACAACAGTCCTTGAGAGAAGAAAAAGTTCCCAAAGACTTTCCCTTGGGAACAATCCGAAGTTCTCTCAGGTTCAGAAAATCATGTCCATGGCTGCATCCCTCGTCCCCATCCCCAGGCAGCACTCTGAGCTGGGAGCTCATCTAGGTGTGAGGACATCCACAAGCAAGAGTGGGAATGAAACCAGTCCTCCTAGCCCAGGCTAATTCGATTGTGTGACAGCCCTGACAAAATTTACCAGTTAGTTTGTGTAGTGTCCCCCCAAAACCCCACTGGGACACCTCTGTCAAGCATCCCTTGGTGCTTTGGCTGAGGATCACCCCCTGTCCCCAGCACGTGGTCCCCTCCCAGGTGCCCAGAGCCACTCACTGGTGCATGGCATGTCCACGGGGTCGGCGTCTGCCCGGTAATATCCATTTCGGCACACGCAGTTCGTGGCCCCTTCCGAGGTTGTCCGGCTGTTGATGGGGCAGTGGACACACCCCTCATCCCCCTGGCTGGCCTTGAATGTTCCCGAGGGGCAGCCTGGAAGAGAAGGACAGCAATGGTGAGCAGTGAGAAGGGGGCTGGGGGGATGCCTGGAGCCCAAAGGAAAGGAGGTGAACACAGCAGAGAAGGAGCAGCTGCTCGAAAGGCCCCTGAGGAGGCACCCACAGGGTTGTGTCCCCATGTAGACACCTGATGGGTCCCCATGTAGACACCTCTGTCCCCATTCCCCAACCATGAGTGCAGGATGGGGATTGTAGGAGTCAGAGGGGATTTTTAGCCACTGCTGTACCAGGTCAGACCACGGACACCAGAATCCTCCCCACAGCAGCGACTGTCAGGGGGGTTTAGCTTGGATTTCAGGAAAGGTTTTTCCCCCGAGGGTGTTGGCACTGCTCAGGCTCCCCAGGGAATGGGCACAGCCCTGAGGCTGCCAGAGCTCCAGGAGGGTTTGGACACCACTCCCAGGCACAGGGTGGGATTGTTGGGGTGTCTGTGCAGGGTCAAGGTTTGGATTTGATCCCTGTGGGTCTCTTCCAAGTCAGGATATTCCATGATTCCACGACCAGCCTGAACCAGGGCATGAACCAGGTGCATTTGTTGCCCACAGCTTCCCCAGTCCTTTCTCAGAAACAGCTCCTTGCACTCCATACCCCACGAGGGTGTTTCTCCCACTGTCACCCACTCATTTCTTTATTCCCTGCACCTGTTTCACCCCTGAAGAGCCCTGTGCTGTAACCACACGCTGCAGGAAGAAACTGCTGCTCTCTGCTTCGAAGCCAAGCTGCCATTCCTGATGCCATCCCACATTTCCATTGCCAATGCACACTCAATCACCATCTGCCTTGTCCACTCTCTAGAGCTGTCCAAACCTCTGTCATGCTCCACACTGCATAACAACCTTCAGTGTTTTACTCTCTTTTCAGCAATGCCCACGTTATTTTTTAGCCACCAGTGTAGTGACTGTGAAAGCCCAAAATCTGAGCTGTGAGGGACATCCCAGCTCATCTCTGTGCAGGTGTGTGTGAATTGCCCTACTGGAAGATGCCCCTGCCTGTGGCAGATGGCCTTTAAGGCATCTCCAAACCCAAATCATTCTGTGATTCCACCTTTCCACCAGCTTGGGGTTGTTTTTCTTCCATTTGTATCACGTCAAGTCTTTTAAATTCCAATTTCCCTCTCATTCCCTGGCCACGCTGTCTCATAGGGTCCTTCTGCAACTCCCCACAGAGTTTTGTCCTCATGACTTTGTAGATGTGGCACTTGGGGACATGGCAGTGCTGGGTTGATGATCCTAGGGGGCATTTCCAACCTTAATGATTTTATGACTCAATATTACAAATAAATTGTTGGTTCTGCTGAGCAGTAACAGCAGGCTGGGCTCTGCCTCCAGGGCTCTGAGCTCCTCACAGGTGAAGAAGATGCTCCATAAGCAGCAGCCACTCAACCCCAAATGTGTCCAGCCCCACAGGGGGTGCAGCAAATGGTGCTGAAGGCTGGAGCACGCTGTGATCCAGCACTAACAGACCCAGGGACCCCACAGAAAGTCCTTTCCAAGCCCAGGGATCACCAGTGCCCAGGGAAAAACTCAGCTCGGAGGCTCAGACCGTTCCTCTGTGGTTACTCCTGTTGTGACTTTGTGTTGCTGTTAATTCTTCCACAGCCTGAAGGGCCTGGGGGGAGCCAGGTGGTTCCTGTGCTGAAACAAGTTTAACAAACTCCTCCTTCAGTCGCCTGCCAAGGCTCCCAGGAACGAGGCAGATCAGAAAACAGTCTGGGAAAAACATTCACTGGGGCTGCTGTGAGCAAGAGCCATTGCTAAGAAGTAGCTATTTGGGAAAAAAGGATAAAAAGAAGGTTGGTTTGTTTTGGGTTTGTTTTTTTTTCAATTTTCATCTCCTTTCCTCCAGAATTATCCTGAGTTTCCAATGAGAAGAGCTCTACAGAAAAATTCCATCAGCTTTCCTGCTTGCATTGTCCCTCCTTCCTCTTGTGGTCAAAGGAGCTGTTGAAAAACAGGATTCTCCTCATGTTCCTGGATTTTCCCATCGATTCCATTCCTGACCCACTTCCCCCAGGAGCAGCCCAGCTCAGAGGGTGTTAAGCTGTTGGGAGAGGAGATGGCTGGGCAGTTCAGCATTCCCCACAAGCGATGGGGACATGATAACAGGCTTCTTGCACTAATACCAATATTTGAGACACACAAAAGACCAACACATAAAATTGCTCTCATCTGACAGCCCGGGTGAAATGCAGGGTCATTCCAGCAAGGATTGTTTCAGACAGGGACCTCTTTCACCTTCCTGAGGTTTATTTTAAAAATAGCTACTTTCCTATAATGCTGCTTCTGCATCAAGACAGAGAGACATCCAAAAGGTGCCCAGTGTGGAGTGTAGTGACTACTCCAAGGGATAAAAACATTCCCCACACTGGCCCTGGCACAGGTCAATGGCTGGAAAGGGATAAAAACTGAGGCTCAGTGGTTGTTCCTCAAAAATACCAAGCTGGGACACTGAAACTCTTCGCATGAGCCAGCAAAAAACACAGCCAGGAGTTTTGTCAAGTCCCTCCCCAGTAGGTCCCGCATGGGATAAAATAATCCTGGAAAAATCAGAACTTCTCTGAAGTTAAATGTTCTGAAATCATGTGGAAAGACAGGAAAAATCACTGGAATTTGATGCAAAGTCCTTTTTTTTTATTGATTTATTTTTCTCAAGTAATGACAACCTCCAGAAGCAAAATAAATGAACATTGTGTTCAAAACTGTTCTGCTCCCTCCAGGTCTTCCCCTGGGTGAGAAAACAGATTTTCTTTAGGAATCCACCCAATTTCTTGTTTCCAGTGTAAACAGCAAATGAAAAGTGAAATCTTCACACAGGAGCTAAAAGCCCTCCTGCCTGAAAAATGGGAATGTTCTCACCATGTGCTGGAAGCATCACAGAATCATGGAATATCCTGAGCTGGGAGGGACCCACAGGGATCATCAATTCCTGGCCCTGCACAGACACCCCAACAATCCCAGCCTGGGCATCCCTGGGAGCGTTGTCCAAACCCTCCTTTCCTGATATCCTTTCCTGATATCCAGCCTGACACAGACACGAGGACACCCCAATTTTCTGGGAGGTGACAGCAGCTTTGGGACGCTCCCGCTTTTCCTTAGGCTTGCAGCAAGGACATCCCTAGAAATTCCTGCTTGGAAAGAGGGGATTGAAACAGAGATTTCTACTTTATCCAAGCATCTTTCATCCCTGGAGGGTGATTTCAGTGCCAGTGGCTCTGGCCCCATCAGTTTCCTGCACCTCCAGCAGCGATGGGATGCTGACAGGGCTTCACAGGGAACAGATGGACCTTTAATTGCCTCTGGGCTGGCTGCCTCGCTGGGTACAGCTCCGAGGGCAGCCTGCAGTTCTGGCTGTGCCTGTCTCCAACCTGGAATGGGAATTCCAGGCTGGGAATGCTGAGCAGTGCCTGTGCTCCTTGCTTGCCACTCGCTCCCAGGGCATGGAAAGGCCCTGGGAAGGCACATTGTTTGGGTCATCACAGAATAAACTGAGTTGGAGGGGACCACAAGGAGCATGGAGCCCGGCTCCTGAAGGGAATTCCATGAGAAGGACCCAGGGAGCATCCTGCCCTCCCTGCAGAGGACCACACCAGGCTGCTGGCACCGAGCTTCCAGCCCTCCTGCCCTGGGGCAGCTCAGCAGGGAAAGGCATCCCATGGCTCAGGGAAAACCTTTGGCCAAATGTGCAGGAGGGGCCGCACAGAGGTTCCCTGTTCCTTCGTGTCTCACTGCCTCTCTCTAACCAACTCTTTAATTAATCCAGTGCGAGCTGGGCAGGCTCCAACCCGGCTCCCAAACTGCCCTGGCCTTCAGAGGCCCCTCCTGGAAACAGCTCTGAGCAAACACCTCCCTCCTGCAATAAAAGTTCCTAAAATGGCACCTTCAGCCCATGCTGAGGGCTCTGAGGAAGGAAGGATTCTCCTCGCCCCCTCTGCCTGGCCCTGTTTCTCCTGGCAGTGAGGATCCCTGAACTCCAGAGAGGCATTTTTAAAGGCTGATGGAAACCAGGCAGCCCTGGCTGTCAGGATCTGCCAGGAGCCTTAAATCCCCAGCCTTATCTCCCCACTGGCTCCTTTCTCCCTGCGGGGCCGGGGCTGGGGGCTGGCTCTGCAGCTCCCCTTGGCCACATCCTGCCTCTTGCCCTCCTCTGTGGCTTTGGGGGTGCTTTTGGGATCCCTCCTCCATGCTCTTGGTGTCCCTGCTCCCACTGGCAGCCTCATCACCCCACAAACCCTGCGTGGTTCTTGGCCCCACACCACAGGGCTGCTCCCACTCCAGCCCCACGTCAAATCCCAAGGATATGCTCTGATGGAGAACAAGGAAAACAATGTCCTGGGCCAAGCTAGGAGGAGCATGGCCAGGACATTGGGGGAGGTGTTTTCCTTTCCCCTGCCAGGCACTGGGGATGCTGCCATGGTCAGTTCAAGGGGGATAGGGAGGAGCAGGAGAGTCCAGTGGATGACCCAGATGGTCTCCTGGGGCACAGGAGAGGTGGGAAGAGCTGGATGGGGTAACTGGGGATGCTGGGGTAAGGGGGGATCAAACTGCACCTGCTGAAGATAGACTCAAACACTTCTCAGGGTGCCAGACTCTGCAACACAGGACAAGGACCACAAGTTCAGACAGGACATTATGAAAAGCTGCTTCTCCAAAAGATGGTGCTGGCCTGGGAGAGGGGTGGTGGGGCAAGCAGAATTCCATCCTTGGGGTAGATGGAGCAGAATTCCTTGGCTGGCTTGAACTGATGCTGGTGGCAGCCCCAGTGCAAATGGGTGTTGGACATGAGACCCCAGAGCCTCCCTGCCCAGCACTTCTGGCTCTGCTGTTCGTGGTGTGTGGGGTATTCCATGGAATCATGGAATGCATGGTTTGGCTTCAAAAGGACCTTAAAGCTCATCTCAGGTTCAATTACATCCCACTGTCCCAGGCTGCTCCCAGCCCCAATGTCCAGCCTGGCCTTGGGCACTGCCAGGGATCC